CCCACCCCTAAGTTTTGGTACAGTTTTTTGCCTACCATTCTATGATATACGTGAAATTTTCAGGAAACCTTCATTGGATACAAACAAAGTTGTAGACAGACGAAATTTTAGTTATTTGATTTGCAATAGATTTGGTATCCTGTGTTCATGCATACTGCATCAGTAAAATTTTAACAAAAACAGTTTTTCCTTTGAAAAATAGCTCTAAAACCTCCTTTATGATTTTTTAAATAAGCAAAGGTACAATCTGACCAATTTTTATTGAAATTTGAGCTAGAAATAAAAATCAACAACAACAACAACCCAAGGGATATATCTGTGTCGCTTATTTTCAAGATGGCCGCCATTTCTAGGAAATGGTAAGCAGTCGGTCATACCAAAGACTCTTTGGTCATACACCAAGGGGCCTATAAAAAGATCCCATTGTAAGTTCTAAGTTACAGATTTTATGGCAGGTCTGTAATTTTGAAAATGGGCTTCAAGGGTCGCCCCTATCCAATATTTATTTTTTAAAGTAAGAAATTTTCGCGTCTTTTGGAATACCAACTGCCATATTAAGTATTATCTTGATGTAATGAAAGAGTAGCATTTTGGGCCTACAACAATGATAGCTTCTTTCTAAATGATCAGCCATTCCTCAACTAGATCCAGATTCTGTCTCTTTTGATCAGACCAGGTCATGCTAAAATTACTGATTAAATGAAGATATGTGTACTTTTACAGTCAAGTGGCTGTTTGGTTTTTTTACCATTTGTTTTAAATTATGTGGTCTTAGTGTTAGTCACGAGTGAACTGACCGGGTTTTTTTTTAGACACAAGGTGTGTTCTTTTCTTAAAGCACTGCCCGCTACTTAAAAAGAAAATCCGTGTTGTTAAATGACATAATAGTTCACAATGCTTTATCTGGCAGGCCTACCTGCGTCGCAACTGCGGAATCTTCAGTCTTTTTTTAAAAAAATAGTAGAGGGTTTTACGGCGCTCGCTACTGCATAAGGTCATATGAGCGCCATCTTCAGTCTTTAATTATACCACTCGAGCTGCCTATTATTTGTTGAGTTTTTAGTTACTCTCGTGTTGGGCAGTCGGAGTAACAAGAAAGTTCAAAAGTACACGTACCTCTGTTAGTAGTAGTAGTAGTAGAAGTAGTAGTAGTGCACTCCGGCTTGTAGCGCAGTGCAAACATTAATTACTCCAAGGGTTGGACAATGTCGAATCTGGGTACTCAGCTTTTATTGCAGCCCTACCACAGAATTCTACACTAAGTGTAGAATTCTGTGAGCCCTACCCAACAGCAATTTTGCCTCTACCGTGGCGCCCTGCTTTGACAGGACCGCCGGGACAGACATTATATCCATGTTATCGCCGAATCATGTTATAGACAGGGATGAAGTTTGTGTTCCCAGTGTCTAACGAGTTGCAAGTGGGTTCATTTTTATTAGATTATCCACAACTATTTTATCAGTTTCATATAATGTAGATCTACTGCTCTTTTCTTTTCAAATGATTTGTTGTTGTTGTTTTGTTTGTTTATGGGTTTTTTTGGTGTGTGTTTTTTTTTTTTTTTTTTTTTTTGGGGGGGGGGGGTCTTCCTCTTTGACTTCTTTTTTCTGGAACACATATCCTAGTATCATATTATAGAGGTTGACTTGGCATGATTTCAGATGTACGGTAGGCCTAGCCTATTACATGTAATTGCATTTATAGAGCACATAATAAACCTCTATAGAGCCCACGGCAAGGCATGTTCCAATAAACCTCTATAGAGCCCACGGCAAGGCATGTTCCGTGCGCTTTACAACCTCCTTTCGTGATCGAAAAATTGCCATGGTTGCGTAATGGAGCGCACGTGACTTAGATTCTATCTACAGTAGATCTAGCACCCAGTGCCCACTTATGATTCTATCTTTTTAGTTGGGTTTTTTTTCTGTTAGAAGTCTCGTCATCCCGGTGCCAAACCGAGGTCACGCTAAAGCAACAGTCAACCCTAAAGTGCACCAGCCTTCCCGCTCCCTCCCCTACATTCACGGGGCGACACATAACGTGTATACCGGTACACAATCAACGTGGCACTTCTGTGGATCACGTAGGCCCAATCCGCCATCAATGTTAGAAAGTCATTTACTTCATTTGTCCCATGTTTTCTTGTCCGTTTGTCGCTGATCGGACCATTGTTATAGCCGAGCGTGACTGTCTGCCCGGCCCGAATGCCTGCTCATCTTTCATGTTAGAACTCTCCCCCCCCCCTTTAACCTTTACTTTGTGAGAGATGGGACTCGGAGATTGATTTGCAATAAGCCTTAAAACAGACTAAATTTAAGAAATACAATGGAATTATTTTTCTGTCAAACACGAAAACAAAAGTTACAAAAATTAACCAGTTCCCAGTATCTCTCTGTCCTCTATTGTTTCTTTAACTTTAATGTTCCTTCAACACTTTTACATAAATCAAAAGTTTTGGGATGAAGGCATTGTCCAATATAGATTGACCTTACTCTTTATTAAGCTTTAATTTTTGTCAAATGGTAAATATGTTTTCTTTTCTATGTGCATGCTCAAGTACTACAGTTTCAGTTACAATTTTTCTCACCCTGAGTTTTATTTTGCATGGCCTAGAAGATTTGCAACTCTAAGATCTTATTCTCGAACTTGTTGCTGTATTTTTTTTATTTCAATTTTTGTTCTAATGGTAATATTTTTTATGAGGCTTGCATAACAAACACGTTAAGTTTTAAAGGCCTTCTGTTGGGAAAATACAATGACTCCTTGACATTTGAGGCTGTGGTTAGCTCAGCTTTTGTCATGCTGGACTGTGCAGTGAGAAACCATGGTTTACGTCAACTTGTTGACTTGCAGATATCATTGCTCTCTGTCCTCACAACTTAGTCCTATCACAGATGAATGTTTGATCCGAGATCTTGCTCTTAACTCTTTATCTCCGAGGGGGGTAAACCCACTGCGCCAGGGCCCTTTTTTGGTACTAAATGTAAAAGTGATGAAAACATCACTAAATGGGTCATTAAATTTAAACTAGCGAACCTATTATGATAGTACTTCATCTAATGAATGAACTTTCGGTAAAAGAAACCGTTTTCGGCAATTAAAAGTAATTTGATGTTGAAGTCGTCGTAAAGGTATATGCCCGAGCCGCTGGCATCGGCCCACCGGCACGGCAGTTCTGGCTGCTTGCCGGAGATTAAGAGTTGAGAAACCATATTTGCCTGACCGAACCAACCAGGCTGTAAAGTTACAGTGTCCATATTTCTCTCTCACAGTAATCATTTTTTACTTCACCAGGGAACTTGAGGCTAAGATTCTCCAAGGCCATGCAGCGGTTTAAAGTATCCCAGGAGTCCGTGGAGACTGCGGTCAGTGTGATCTTGCGCACTCCAGCTCTGTTCCTCATTGAGGTTTGGTTTCGCACCAATCCACACACAACAATTCAGTTGCATTCAGATGATGTTGAAACTATAGTGACTGTGGCCTACTATATGGGTAAGTCTTTGTGGAATTAAAGAGGAAATGTGTGTTTTTGATTTTTATGTTGTACTGCAGAATGTGTTGAATAAATTTTTCTTTGAAACAGTTTTAAAGATATTCCCGATAGTTTTTCTGTGGCCTTTAAAGTGATTTTGAATTTGTTCATACATTCATTATTGTTGCATACTTTTTTTTAGTAGACAAAGACTATCAATTTTATTTTAAAGCTGTTACTTTGACAAAGAGAATGTGTATTAACAGTGCATAAAACCTCAAATTTCATTTCATTAAATTGATGAATTTGAATAAGTTTATAGTTTTTGTGCAAAATCTGTCATTAATTTACTAAGGTTCTTTTCCTTACTGAGTTTAATATACAACATCAATTCATCAATGAAAGCAAAATTATTGAAAGAAAATTGTATAGGGCCTATCTAATACATTTTATGTTTAAGGCAATGATCAGTACACAATCAAAACAAGAATGCAAAACTTCAAAGCATGGCTTTAGGGCAAGAAGAACTAGACTTGTTTGTTTTGAAAAGGTTGTATTCATTTCTTTTTTCACCTTTGACCACAATGTGTACCTGAACTCTTTCAGCATTGGTAGTGGCTGTGGCTGTGGCGACGCTACCACTCCGTCACCTGGTCACATTCTACATCTACTTGGTCTGCGCTGGCCTCATGGCATGTGCCTGTGGGATATCAAGAGCATTTGTAGCTGTGGAGAAACTGGAATTAGAGCATGACCTGGAAGCTGCTGAAAAGGAAAATGCTACCATGGACAACAGCCTTTCAGCTTTGTTAGATGACCGCAAGCGTGTTGAACGCATAGTTTTGCATGTTTTGGCTCAAGTCTTCATAGCGGCTGTTGTTGCATATTTGATGGAGATTGAGAACTGGGTCAAGTTCACCCTGCTTTCCTTTGCTCTCCCAGTGGTGGCTCGGTTGGTAGGCTTCCCTGTAGCAGAGCTCCATTTGGTGCACAACTTTGCCACTGTCTACACAATCCTACTAGTTCTCTTCTGTATCTTCAACAACTTGGGCAACATTATCGACACCTGTAAGGAAGGCATCAACTTTGCTGTCATCTCATTCCGTGCTTTTGGCATTATTCCTGTAGCCCTGACCTTTTGGCGGACAATGGCCTTACCTGTGCAGCTGCTTCTGTTTTGGTGGCTGATGTACCTGTCTCAGCTCTACGTGTACGTCTACTCTGACAACCTGGGTCTGTGGCAGGAGGGCTGGTTGGTTGTCCTCCTGGCCAGTATGGGTGAGTGTTGTGCCACACCCGTTAGCCTCCTGGCCCTATGTGTCACCATCACCTACTCCTCTTGTGCTGTCCTGTGTTTAACCAAGCTCTACTTGCAGGGCCTTGATGCATTTGAGCACGATACCATGCGGGGCTGGACAGAGGGCTTCACCATGCTGCTTATTGCTGTTCAGACTGACCTCTTGGAGCTCCGGCCTTTGCAACGGGCTTTCCTCATGAGCATTCTCTTGTTTATTGTTGTCTCATCTCTGATCCAGTCCATGTACGAGATTGCAGATCCTGTGCTGTTGGCATTAAGTGCCTCTCACAACCCCAGCATCGTCAAACACGTGAAAGCCCTGGCCCTGTGCCTGCTGCTCTGGGTTTTGCCTCTTTACATGACCTACTTCATCTGCCAGTACTTTGACCTGGACTTTTGGTTGATGGTCATTGTATCCAGCTGCCTGCTCACTTCCGTCCAGGTCGGTGGCTCTTTGGTCGTCTACATGCTGTTCATGTATGACTTCATGCGTGCTGAGCCCTGGGATAACCTGGATGACGTCATCTACTGTGCCCGGGCAGTCACTAGAGTCATGGAGTTCATCGTGGCCGTCTTTGTTGTGTGCTTTGGCCTGAAAGAGTCTATGCTGGGGGAGTGGAGCTGGATCAACTCTATCATTCTTATTGTCCATTGCTATTTCAATGTCTGGCAGCGGCTGCAGAGTGGCTGGAAAAGTTTTCTTCTTCGCTGGGAAGCAGCAAAGAAAGTGGAGTCTTTGCCAGTTGCGACAGAGGAACAATTAGCTCAACATGACGATGTTTGTGCCATTTGCTACAGTGACATGAAGGTGGCCTGTGTGACTCCATGTGAGCATCTTTTCCACGGTGTCTGTCTCAGAAAATGGCTTTATGTGAAGGAGACATGCCCAATGTGTCACAGAGACCTTGCCGGGGGTAACGCTCAGAATGCAGAAGGTCAATGGGCAGAGAGACCGCCTCAGGCAGATCACAATGAAGGGCTGCGTGAGGATGATGACAGGCAACCTGTAGCAGAACTGAACAAGCAGGACTCCTCCGATAACTCCAGCAGCTCTAGTGGTACTACAGAGTGTGACAGCATAGATGCTGACTTAGAATGTGATGAGACAGAATTAGCTGAGGCAGATCAGTGATACATATCTTTGAGATGATTTTGTACATATATGTCTGTGTCAGGAGCAGGCAACCTTTTTGCCAATGTGGATAATGTATCATTTTAGTAAGAGAGTAGTGTGCCAAATAAATCCTGTTTGGACAGCTGAGATCCTAGTGTATGAATTTAAGTACAATGTACTTCTTCTAGTCACATATGCTAGCCCAAATGTAATATAAGGGATTGGCTCAGTCTCAAGTGTGGTGTTGCCCATGGGCTAGTAGGTTGCCTGCTCCTGTTCTACACTCTTCTCTTGGCTGTGATAATCAAAGAATGAACGCCACTAAGCATGTGAGATGCTGACTGCATTCAAGCTGAAGAAGGCCCCTCATTTTGCTTCAAAATTATTAACATTCTCACCGTAATAATTATTCAAACATTTTGTGAAGGGATCACTAAGATTTTCTTATAGCCCAGTTCTTTGTCATTGAAATATTAATGCATTCACTTTTCAGGTTGTTTTTGTTTGATCTTTTTTCTTGTTTCATATGGTAATAAGCTGAATTTTTGTTTAGCTGACTTAATGTAAGCCGAGCAGGACTGTATGAAACAAAACGGATACTGCAGTTGTGTGTTTTCTTGGGAAATCGTGTATGTGCTTAACAAAGACAGTGAATTATTCAGTCACAATTTCTTGAACTGTTTGCAGTACATGTACAAGACAAAATGATATTTATGAAAGTTTCAGATATAATGAATAATAATGGGACTTTTATAATAATGATAATGGGAATTTACATACCACCTAATCCTAAGAAGGCTTTAACCGCTGCTTAATGTAGCTCTCTAGTATTATTATTATCTCTTAAATTAACTGACAAATCAAGAGACAGAAAGTGCACATTATAAACTTATTTAGCAACACACACACAAACACAAACCCGCATCAGCGCACACAGCCAGCCACACATACACACTCACACAAACTCCCAGACCACACACATTTTCACATACAAAATTAATGGTAGTGGACAGTGTTGAAATGAAAAAGTGACTTTTTTTAAACTCCCTCTCTCTCTGATGATAATATATTATTATGCATTTCTTCTGAACAACTGCATCAAAATATAATGGGATTTATGTGATGAAAGTGTTGTTTTTATACCCCAGTCTTTGTTGTTGTTTTTTGTGATCTCCAGCACTGTCTGGACTCAAATAGTTGTTAATTACTACGGTCACATAAGTATGTATATATATATATAATATTATAGATGTGTGATATTATTTTGTCATATGATTTTCCTCTCACTGAATTTCCCCTGAGGTAAATAAAGTGATAAATCGTCTTGACCAGTTCAGGGATTTTGGTTGCAATTCAGTCATGACACTTTTGGAGAGTGTTGCCCACTCCTTGTCTTCATCTTTCAACTTAATGAGAAGAAGATATTGTATGGTGTGGTTTGCTACTTCTTTCCTATCAAACGTCTATCATCCTTATCTGTCTTTCTTTTCTTTGTACGTTACTCTCATGTAGCGCTTCTAATCTTTGTCACTTATATGACCTATTTAAAACTAATGAAACTAGGAGAAATGGTTCATGACATGTGTAGACAAATAGATGCTGAAATCATTTTGTTCCTGTTCAGCTGGGAATAGACAGATCTTCATGTTGACTGTTTACTAATAAACAAATGATGTTACACCAGCAGGTCATCTATAGACTACAAAATATTGTGATTCTAGGAGACATTTTTGTGGACTATTGTGGTGCAGACTTTGTTTACCACGAAGCAACCTAACACAAAGAAGTAGTTCTCTAGCCCTGTAAAGTTTGTGTGCACTGTGCTATGTTTCATAATTCTATCAGCAAATATATTGTCATTATTAGACTCTATTTTAAATTTTAAGAGAATGCGTTTTTACAGTAGTCTTCCTACAAGATGGTGGATGGAAAGTTGCCCCTCAGAGCATGTCCGCATTGTCATGTTTTCCAATGTTGTCTGCTCTCTTAGTCTGAGCTACATGTGGAAACAACTTGTGGCCAGGCTTGTTCGTGTTCACATTTTGACTTTTATTCCCAACTTATTGGGTGCCATTGTTAGGGCTGTATGACATGTCAAGGAAGAATTTTTTTTCTTCTTTGGTGTGCTACTTTTTGTTGGTTGGGGGGGGGGCTTGGTGCTCTTTGGACTACCAGTTATTCTCAGGACTTTTATTTGGTACTTGTGATGGCCAGTAAAATTAATCAAGTTTTCTGTATCCTGTCTTCTTGGGCTAAGTCCTTTTATTATGTTTTAATAGACTGAGAAGACGGTAGAGAGAAATCGGCAGCTCTCAGTACCACTGATCATGACACATACTCGGTAGTAGGCCTACAAGATAGTGGCAGATCATAGAAATATATATTGTGTCTGTCTTGATAGAACCAGCTGCATTTTTGTCGCTTCATAATAATAGCAAAGAGAGAGTCGTCTCGGCCTATCATCTGTCTTGTTATTTCCTTTCTTACCCATTGACATTCAATAGCGGACAAAGTGTCCTTCAAATGTCTTTCCAGTTGTTTCTTGCTCAACTTACAGCTGTTTGTGTCTACCCCACTTTTCCTATTGTATTCATAATGTTGTTGTTTTTTCTTTTGTATTGCTTTTTTGTGTGATACTGTACACAGCTGACTGTTGAAAGGTTGTATTGTACTCCGTTCCCTCCCTAGATGTGATGGGCAAAAGTTTAATTATGCTTCTGATGCAACAGTGTCCAACGTTTTTGTGTGCCTAACCTACTGCTTCTTATCGGAGTGTTCCAATTTCGTTTGTGCCTTTTTATTTTCTTCCAGTGTCACTTACATGTTCTACCTTATGTTACACGTTTGTTTTTGTTGATTTTTTTCTGGCAGAGACCAGTCTCGCTTACAAAATTAAATATATGAATATTATACGAAAGCCCCAAAGCGCCTAATAATGCGACGCCCCCC